AACGGAGCTGTGGAGGCAGCCAACAAGAATATCAAAAAGATTCTCAGGAAAATGGTTCAAGGCACTAGACAATGGCATGAGAAGCTACCTTTTGCACTTTTAGGATATCGCACAACAGTGCGCTCCTCGATTGGTGCAACTCCTTATTTGCTGGTGTATGGGACTGAGGCTGTGATACCAGTGGAAGTCGAAATTCCATCTCTTCGAATTATTGTAGAGGTTGAAATTGAAGATACTAAATGGGTCAAAACCCGACTAGAGCAGCTCACATTAATAGATGAGAAGCGATTGACGGTCGTCTGTTTTGGTCAGCTTTATCAGCAAAGGATAGCTCGTGCATACAACAAAAAGGTGCACCCAAGACACTTTAAAGTGGATCAACTGGTCTTAAAGCGCATACTCCTGCACCAAGAAGAGGCCAAGATAAAGTTTGCCCCAAATTGGCAAGGTAGATATCTTATCAAGGAAGTGCTATCCAAATGAGCCTTGCACCTTACTAATGTGGAGAGAAAAATCACAAGCATAATTGTTAATGCGGATGCAGTCAAAAGATACTACATCTAATGTGTTCTAAGATACTGTGACAAGTCTGTGGTTGAGGGAACAAAGACATCTTTTAAAAAAAATCCTCCCTTTGAATTTTTGAACTACGTTTGACCTGATTCCGAAAGGATACGTACGCAACCCTTTGGGGTTCGGTCATACCAAAAAAAAAAAACAATATTCCAGTACCTATAGTAAATTGGGGCATTTTTTTTATCTTGATAGAATAGAGTCAAATTGTAATTCCGTTTATGATTTTATTCTAGCAATCGACATTTTGATCAACTCAAAGAACGATAGATTCAATGTGTCTTGCACAGACAATTGATCATCAAAGACAACATTGTCGAGTAAAAAAAAGGGTCTCATCGGTGAAAACCTTTATAGGCACCATAAGACGACAAGAGAGAAAATCTTATCGGTGAAAACCCTTGCGGGACACCTTAAGATAAAAGAAGAGAACATCATGAAAATGACTAATTGGGAGAAATCTGCAAAGATCACCATTTCTGATACATCTGCATGAAGAATACATAGATTAGTTATAAATTGATAATGGTTCAGATTTTGAGAATTAAACAACTCAAGCGGATTAGGGGTCAAGTCTAAAATGCATGTCATGGTTCACTCAAAGCTAACATATGCCTCCAGATAAGTTCTCTTTCTCATTTTTCTTCAAAAGGGAATGCCCTTCCTTAAGTTTATAGTCTTTCTTGATTCAATTTTTCACACTCTTAAATCTGATATTTTTCTAGTTTTTTTCGGTATAATCTCTTGACAAAATAAGGTAAAAGATTGCAAAGCTTACTACGGGTTCCCAAAAGTAAAGTTGAGTATCCGAGTTGACATGTCATCGAGCAAGGACTAAAAATGCCTCAAATCCTCACTAAAAACTCGTGAAGGAACACGATATAGTCTCTTAAGTCATGAAAAATATTCAACAGGAAAATTCATCCTTTGGGACATCAGTTGCACCATGATATTTGGTAGTACCAAAAGATCAAGGACCCCGAATCAAAAAAGAGGAAGCTTCAAAGGTTGTTCAACCAAGAATTTGGAGTAGAGTTGGAGAAATTAGTTAGGAGTATGGTCAAGTCATCAGAGCATCAAGGCCACAAACCAACCACCGTTTTAAACTAACAATTTTCTCTTTCTTTTGCTCAACAGAGGAACAAAAGAAAATATGGAATTACAAGTCAAAATGAAACATCACAAAAAGGAAGTTCTCCAAATTCTTCACATGTTTGTTGTTTCATCTCATGCTATTCTCATTCTTGCCTCTCAATTCGAGAGCTTCGGGCAATACGCACCACTCTAAATTCCGTGCAATACGCACACGTCCCTTATTTATGTGCAATACGCACCATCCATTATTCATGTGCAATACGCACCAGTCTGAATTTAGTGCAATACGCACCAATCTGAATTCCGTGCAAATATGCACCCGTCCTTTATTCACGTGCGAAATGTACCAGTCTTTCTTTCATGACCAAGACGTACCAATCCAAATCACATGCAATACACATCGTTATTGCATTCATGTGCAAAATACACTAGTCTTCTTTCATGTGCAATACGCACCAGTCCTTATTCACATGCAATACGCATCAATTCTCTATTCATGGGCAATACGCACCATATGCATATCCTGGGCAATACGCACTAGCATTCATGGGTTATACACACCATATTCACATTTTTGGGGATACACCCAATCTTAGGACAATCCACAAAGACAATACGTCTTATTTGAAACTCTCAGGGAAACACACCCCACTTCTTCTTTTCTTTCTATGGTTATACGTCCTAGTTTAAGATTCGCATTTTTTTCCCTTCCCTAACAGAAACACATCCTTTTTGGGTTCTTCATTTTGTGATCTTGAGTTTTGAGTTTCAACAGCCAACTCAAGTTAAAACATGCACCTGAGAATGATCCGCAAGCCGCCAAGAGAGCATGAAGATCAATATCAAAGATAACGCACAGAGCAAGTCAAAGATCAAGATGAGACCCTATGAAAAAAAATCAAGTAGGGATCTTGTAACTCTTATAATGTAGAGTGGCATAGTTCTCTAGCTCTCTTCTTTGTAATTATAGACAGTAGATGACGACAAGCAATGTGAAACAATCTTTTGACCGCAATTTCTGATAATTTCAATTATCAAAGTTTCTCGAACTACACTGACCTGATTTCCTTTTAATCAAGGATATGTAGGCAACCTCTGAAGTAAGGTTCGGTCATCTTTTTCAAAATGGCTTCAACGGAGTTTGCACAGTCAAAAAATTAGCCACTTCGTTCACTTTCTTCGCTTGAAAACTCTTTATGTTTCCAAATAAAGAGGGGCATGCTGTGAACATCTAATTTTTGACGTGTTTATTTTACTCCTACAATATATAGTAAGGTCTTATATTTTTGTTTTGTATTTCGGGTAATTTTGTCTTTGTTTATATTATTTTTTAATTGGCCCAAATGACCCAATTTTTTATTGAATTGGGTTGATTTAGACCAAATTTTGATGGCCCAATCAATTTTGATCCGGTCCAATAGAAATGGTCAAGATTAAATCTCAACCATCCATGATTTTTTGATCCAAGGGTTCTTATGGGACCCTACCAAAAATACAAAACCCTAAAATTAAATTTTTATTGCCATTTTTAATTTTGTTCTTCTTCCCTTTGCTTCCACCTGCCACCGCCACCACTGCCACTGCCGCCGGCAGCCACCACCCCTTGGCCAGAAAATCTCTAAATTCCTACCACTTCTTCCTTTCATCCTCCTCTACACAAATCCGCAAACCATTCATTCATATTCATAGCCAAACTCCGCAGATCTAAGAAAAACCAAACATAATTTTTTTTTCTCTTTAAGATTTACAAAGTTTCGGTCATCCCCGTCCTATATCCTTTACATAAAAGTGTAGATCTCTTCAAGGGCTACCTTTTGATGTAAATTTTATGTCCAAAATCCGTCAAAAAAAAAATTCGGCAGAATTTTCCGGCGACATCCATTCATCCGAAAATTTAGGTCAATCATTTCCCTCTCTCATCCTCTATCCAAATCCGTCATTATAACATTTTTTAAAACCATATAAGTTGTTTTGATGCCGGATTTGTATTGTTTTGTTAGTGTTCTTCAAATTCATGTTTAAGTTGTTGCTTGAGTTTTATTTTACTTTTATTTTTTTTTTATTTTTTTTTAATTTCGTTTTTATTTTTTATTTTTTATTTTTAATTTTTAATTTTTCTGCCCTATTTGTTGTGTTTGATCTTCAAAATAGTTTAGATTTTGTGTTAGTGGACTGATTTTCTTTTGATTTTTGGGTCTTGATCAATTTTGGGGCCTATTTTAAAATTTTCAGATGACCCATTTAGCTATTATTCAATTAATGAATAAAAGAAAGGAAAAACTACTTTATAAGACATACTTCACTATCATATATACTTACTTTATCTCCAGTTTAAGAAAATTACACATAAATACCATTTTTAATATTTATACCATATATTTTCAATGATTTTATTTAGATACACAAATTCCTTAAAATATGATATTGAATAATTATCTTAAAATTTAAATTTCTTTATTAATGGTACATTAGAAATTCAAATTATTTTTTAATTAAAATTTAAACTCCTTATTTTCTCATTAAATTTGAAATCATATTGTTTTGTGAGCTTCTTGTTCCATAAAAAAAGGTGTGCCGCATTGCAGATGTTCTCTCCATTGAATTCACAATACAGAGGTAAGCTCTAATCTACTAATTCCTCAATGCAATAAAGTGGACCTCGACACCACCATCTATAACATACCTCAACTTCAACAAAGTTTCTACTTTTTTTATTATTATCATGTATCTTGGTTTACATCATGTTTATGTATTTGAGATAAAATTTATATTGCTGTAAAGTTTGATTTTATAAACTTTTACAACGTAGGTTTTTTTTCATTGCAGGGTCTTATTTTATAAACTTTTACAAATTAGGTTTTTTTTCATTGCAGGTTCTTCATTTACGAACATTCAAGCCGAAACTTTAAGATACAAATAAAGGAATTGATGAAGAAGATGAAGTTTACAATTATAGAATTACCATGGTTTATGATTTTGTTATTTACAGGAAAACTTGTGAGAGTTGATACGCAAGGATTTTGTAAAATCCGTTTGAGTTGTTAATTATTCATCAATTAATCATTTAATTAGGGAAATAGTTACACCCCTTTAATTCAAGGTAATAAATGGTGTATCTTGACTTTTTAAACCGATGGATACATGTATCTCGCGAGTAATGATACATGTATCTTGCGAGTGATGATACATGTATCTCAATTACTCCTCTAATTAAGGAAATTAGTTGCAACTAATTAATTTAAACAAATAAAATATGAATCTCGATTTTAAAATTTGACAGATACTTGTATTTCACGGATTTAGACTCATGTATCCTAAGCACGAAATATGGTAGATACTTGTATCTCAATTACTCCTCTAATTAAGGAAATAAGTTACAACTAATTAATTTAAACAAATAAAATATGTATCTCGGTTTTAAAATTCGACAGATACATGTATCTCGCGAATTCAGATTCATGTATCCGAAGCACCAAATATGGTAGATGAAGTAATATTTGAAACTATTGGGAATCGTAGTAATTAGGATCTAAACTAAAGGGATTTATGTAGTTTGCCCTAAAAGAAATGGGTCATCTAAAATGACAATTTTGGGCCTATTCTAAATTTTCAGATGACCCATTTAACTATTGTTCAATTAATGAATAAAAGAAATGGGTCATCTAAAAGGGCAATGTAATCTTTTAATTAATTCTTGGAAAAAGAAAAAAAAATCATTGGTCATCTTGGGTGGCACCTTGGAAAAACAAAGAGTCCAATGCATGCATTGGCTCTTAAGTTTTCAAGAAGAGTGGGGGTTTAATGCTCTACACCTA